AGCCAATATAAGAAGTAAAAATATTAGTTCTGAAGCTAAAATGGTTGCCATTTGTTTAGTAGTCAAACTCTTCTCGTTTCCCTTTTCGTTGCGCAAATTTCGTCGTTTTGTCGTCGCCTACTCGAGCGTGAGCTCATTGAAATGCAGAAGAAATGGTGTAGAATTTGGAAAAGAGAGAAAAAGGATCAGTAGCATTTTTATTTAAACAAAAAACATTTCATTTTTACATTTGAGAGAAAGGCTTCTATCTAATTTCGATTTGCAAACGTACTTTAGACTTTCAATTCGATTATTTGGGCATTCAAATTAATAAGGACTAACCGTGGGAAAGAGTTGCTCGACTTTTTCATTAAAGAAGCAAAAAGAATAATTGAAAAACAGTGAACAAATGCAACAACACTAGCCGCAAAAGTACTAACAAGGGAAGGTCAACTGGCTGAGCCGATCAAATGCTATGCGACCTATCCCATTTGACACAGAATTTTATGCTGATTCCGAATAATATTCCACTTTTGCTAAATGATAATCTGCCAGGAGTTATAAGCATCTAAAGTTTTGTTAGGACTCTGAAATTTGGCCCTTTAGGTCTTAGTGGTCTTCTTGAAGACCAAATTCGTGGCCGAGTGGTGCAGTTCTCAAATAAAGACAAAAAAACTAACATTGATGACAATCATCGATAAAGAACACTAGTCAGTTCCTGAAAAAAGCAAAAGAAAAGAAAGGTCACACTCTGGAAACGAGCGCCACTCTGCATTCAAACAAATCCGCAGGGAGGCTACTAAGACCCAAACCAACGCTGCACCACTCGGCCACGACTGCACCGAATTTGGTCTTCAAGAAGACCACTAAGACCTAAAGGACCAAATTTCAGAGTCCTAACAAAACTTTAGATGCTTATAACTCCGGGCAGATTGTCATTTAGCAAAAGTGGAACATCTATTTGAAATCAGCATAAAATTCTGTGTAGAATGGGATAGGTCGCATAGCATTTGATCGGCTCAGCCAGTTGGCCTTCCCTTGTTAGTACTTTTGCGGCTAGTGTTGTTGCATTACCTCTATTCTTTGTTTTTTTCAATTATTTCTTCTGGCTCTCTCTACTTGGACACGACTTTCTTCGAGGATTTGACTCTGCTGCGAGAATAAAAGTACCCTACAGCAAGATTCTGTCGTCACTGTTTTCTCTGCCTATGTGAATGAAGCTGAATGGGTGAATGAAGCTACTTCCACAACAATACGTGCATAGTTAGGTCAATCAAAAGCTCCAGTTTGTCGACCAAAAGTGACCCCACTATCCACAAAGAAAAAGTATAATGAAATCTTTGAAATTTAAGCTCGATAATTGCAGACGGAAGCGTCGCACATCGATTACACCCCTGTGTAAATTTTTTTTTTCTTTAAATCAAAAATCCGAACACTGCAAATTTTAAGTTAGGCCCAAAAATGAACGGAAAAAATAAAATAATCCGAAACCGTCTATCCAAAATTTCAGAATTAAAGGCGGCGACTCTGATGTTAGTGAAATTTCATATTTCATCGAACCATAAAGTGTTATATGTCATTCAATAGCTCTTTTCACGCTCTTTCAGAATACTGAATTGAGTTTTTGTGGAATTCTATTTTTCCAGGAAATTTTTTCCATATTCGGCGCCGAAAAGTCAAAATAATTTTTTTCACGAAAATCTAGCTGAAAAACTAGGCTCAAAAAGCAAATTTCTGAATTCTACGCAAAAAGTTGGTTGGGAATTGTTTTTTAATTTTGTGTTTTGGTCAATGGAAACGCGAGCTCTGAAACCTAGGTTTTTTAGAAATGCGCGGTTATATGGCCCACGCGCGCACCTTTGATGTTGGTAAAATTTTTCTTGTGTCAAATCATCAAGTGTTATATATCATTCGAAAGCATTTTTATGCGTTTAAACATGGCGGAAAGAATATACCAAAAACTTTGACTTTTTATTAGTTTTCTCCGATTTTATAATCTGGAATGCAGTTTTTTTCTGGTTCTGCGGTACTTGCAGATCTGGTATAGTCTAGAAAAAATTTATTCTATTTATAAGCATGAATTAGACAAAAAAAAGAATCAAAAGGAGGAAATTAAGATCATTAAATCATCTTTCCATCATCATTGAGGAGAACAACATAACCGAGCCACTTAAGCGAGTTCATTAGTCGCTCTTGTTGTGGTCCTGTCTTGTTTCGAGCAAATTCAGATCCTAGCTTGCTGTGAACTGCCTCAATGCCCTCTTCGGATGCATTTCCGATGAATTTATGCTCATGGACAAATGGGCCAAGATGTAAGAGTAGAGCATGGACCAGTACACTTTGTCCAAAACCACCAACTTTTTCTAGTTCATCGGAAAGAATCGCTGTTTGGCAGCAATTTCTGGCTTTTGAATGTTTGCCTTTGCAAGCCAAATCTTTTTATTTCTTTATCCGAAAGAACACTTTTTAGTGGTTGAAGCCATTTGAGACCATTTGTTGAACTCACGTAATGCAGAAATGACTACTTGATAGGAACGGGAGGAAGAAACGACTGCTAAATCAGAAATCACTGAGGATCGACAGAGATTCTTTATATCGTTTCCGTTGAAACGAGCATAGATAATCCCATCACTCTTCCGATCCACATCCAACTTGCATTTTCGACAAACATCTTGGAAAGTCTGAGAGGAGCCTTCGAGTTTCACCAATTGTTCAAAAAAGTTGGTTTTCAATCTTGATTTTTGCATGAAGTATTGGGGAATTACCAAACTTCGAGAAATATTTAATAGATTTTCTTTTTTTGCCTGCAGACCTTTTACTTTTTGAAATCATCGCTTCCACCGAAGGGTCACTCCGATCAGCATATTGTTGAAAATCAATTGAATCCTTATCAGCGGATGGTTTTTGTCAAACCTCTTGTTGCACCATAAACATCCAAATGTCATCGCACAGGAAAGACCAAAGTTGGTGTTCAAGAAAGATAGGTCTCCACCGAGAAAAACCATATATCCGGCTTGCACCAAAGTTTCAAAGTCTTTCCAAATTCCCCTTTTCCTTCAGCGAGTCGTAAGAATCTGAACCTTCCCAAGCTTGTAATGGAAGACAATTGCGAGACGAGCACGGTTTTTCGCAGATTAGGAATGAAATAGTTGAAATAACTCGGCCGTGCCCTTCAGGGAAAAAATCAGCCGTTTTCCTCGCTCATCCAGCAGACCCAATCTTCTTCGCCGCTCTTCAACAGCTTTCAACACAGCTTCCAATCTTACTCCTTCATTGAGAACTATTTCATATCTGACAAACTGGTCCAGAGTCTCCTTGGCCTTTTCGATAGTTCGTTGTGAGCCAATGGTTACTCCTTGGTTTGATTGAAGAAAATGGTTTACAGCTAATAGTCCTTTATTTCATAGATTGGCACTTTTTTTTCATACCGAGCAGAGCTTCTGGAGTTGGAGGAGTCGGTGATTTGGTTTGAATATGTGAGGTTGAAGCAACAGAATCATCATCGTTTTGCTTTGCTTTTGCCACATAGATGGCGTTTTGACGATTTTGCTCGGCTCTTTTCTTTTTATTATCTTTCAAAATCCTTGCCTTCCGTGCTCCTTTCAAATGTGCTTTCCTGTCGAATTCGTTTTCTTTTTGTTGATTTCCTGGAATTGTAACTCTTTCTTCAAAAAAAATTGCGTTCTTCACTTTTTTAGAATAAATTTTTTCTAGACTATACCAGATCTGCAAGTACCGCAGAACCAGAAAAAAACTGCATTCCAGATTATAAAATCGGAGAAAACTAATAAAAAGTCAAAGTTTTTGGTATATTCTTTCCGCCATGTTTAAACGCATAAAAATGCTTTCGAATGATATATAACACTTGATGATTTGACACAAGAAAAATTTTACCAACATCAAAGGTGCGCGTGGGCCATATAACCGCGCATTTCTAAAAAACCTAGGTTTCAGAGCTCGCGTTTCCATTGACCAAAACACAAAATTAAAAAACAATTCCCAACCAACTTTTTGCGTAGAATTCAGAAATTTGCTTTTTGAGCCTAGTTTTTCAGCTAGATTTTCGTGAAAAAAATTATTTTGACTTTTCGGCGCCGAATATGGAAAAAATTTCCTGGAAAAATAGAATTCCACAAAAACTCAATTCAGTATTCTGAAAGAGCGTGAAAAGAGCTATTGAATGACATATAACACTTTATGGTTCGATGAAATATGAAATTTCACTAACATCAAGTCGCCGCCTTTAATTCTTGAAATTTTGGATAGACGATTTCGGATTATTTTATTTTTTCCGTCCATTTTTGGGCCTAACTTAAAATTTGTAGTGTTCGGATTTTTGATTTAAAGACGATTATTTTTGTAACCTATGTGCGTCGTGGCCTTCAATGAAGGCTTCAATTTGCCATTTGAGTGGAAAAAAGATCCCCTTTCAACTTATTTATTTGAATAGATGTTTAGGAGAGGAGAAGGGTCAACCCTTTCAACTTGTTGGTTCGCATGGAGGCTGATTATCCCCTTCTCTAGGATTTTTCTTTAAATTCTGATCAAATAAACTGATCCATGTGGAACTTAATAAAATACGTTAAAACAATTTCAAAAGTCTTTTTGGTAAAAAGAAACAAAAAATTGCAAAAGACCAGAGGTAGAAAGACATCGTTTTCGGCTTCAACGTCCATCTCGTCATCAGTGTTTGCATTATTGTCGATAGTTTCTTTTTGGTGGTGACGGCGATTGGTGGTGGCTCGACGCTTGTTCGCCAATCCACGACTAGCTGATCGTCTCAGCTCAGCAAAGCACGAATCATCACAGGCTTCTGCGTCCGTCAGGGCCAACATCTTTTTTGACAAAAAAGACCATAATTTAGGGAAAGAACCAAAAGAACAAATGGATTACAAAAGTTTTAACTTCTAGAAAAACTTTATTCAAATAAAACTATTCCAAACTTTGAGCAAAGTCATTCGTTTGAATAGATAACAGAAAAATTTGAAGAAGTCCCAATTGAAGAAGTCCCAATTTTTTTAATACAATTGCATCGATTTGTAGACAGTTGAAGGAGCGGTTCCGCGGGCCATTTTCGATCGTGTCACCGTCGAGATTTGAAAGCTTTGCGTTTGCTGCGTGTGCAGGGATTTCGTTAGCTGTAACTGTGCTTCGAATGTCGTTTAAATTTTGAAGCAAGACTTTGAGACAAAGTTGGTCTTAGTGCCCAGCTGATCAGCTGATCAGATTCACCAAATGGAAAGCCCAAGCCGATTAGGATCAGCTGATAAGCAAGAATTGAGAAGCAAGAAGAGCAAGAATTATCCCGAACTTGACCTGGCTTCAAGCTAGTACTATAATGCCAAGCGAATGCGTAAACGAACGTGTGCTTAGCCCAGATCTAGCTCTGTCAGCTCCTAGTCAGCTCCTAGTCAGCCATCCATAGATTTACCCCAGAACAGGAACTCACATCGATCGGCGTCAAACGTTTTCGACAGAGTAAGGTTGGTGGGCAAATGTAGTAAAACATGATCAAAGCCTGAGAAATTCTATTTTGATTCACTTTGTCTAATTCACTTTGTCCTACTTGTGTAAATGGAAGAGTTGCAGGAAAAAGCGTTGGCATCGAGATCCAGTAATCGAGGAGAAGATGCGGGGAGAAAATGAGAAGTAAATAAGTGACGGTGAATGGGAAAACGACGAGGAAAACCGGGCCGATTATCTGAATGTAATATTGGTAAGATTATTGGTCACTTATTGGGCACTTATTGGTCACTTGTTGCTCACATATTGGTCACTTATTGGCCACTTGTTGGTCACTTATTGACAATAAGGGCTTACAGTCTAAGTAAGTAAATTAAGTAAGTAAGTAATAAGTAAGCTTACAGTCTAAGTAAATCAGCGAGCAACTGACGACTTCAGTGGACTAGATCATTAGCGTTTAGCCGGCTTTAACCTCTCTCCAACCTGCCATCCAATCATCCATCCGATTCTCGATTTCAGCTCGTTTGTTCTGACCATTAGACGATTTCGCTTTCGAATGATTTCCTCTAGATGTCGATGCACATTGTAATAGCACCAAATGAGCAGGAAAAGTGATCCACCAAATGGAAAACCCAAGCCGATTAGGAGGATTTGTTGATCAACCTTTAAATGGAAACTTTTAAGCTTAGCTTAAACTTTTAAGCTTTAGTTATACTTTTGTGATGACAAGGCTTTGCCTGGTGTGGTAAGCTGAATCGAAATGAAGTATTGGTTGATAGAATTCACAGATGATCAACGGAGATAGAGAGATCCCGATGTAGAGATAAAAAGAGATACTCGCCCACGGGGGAAGCGGTTTTCTAAAGGATTGATTTTGACTTCTGGCATAGCAAAGCAGTCATAACCGACTGGCTATGGCACAGCAAAGCAGTCATAACCGACTGGCTATGACATAGCAAAGCAGTCATAACCGACTGGCTAAGTGCTTTGTATCTTAGTCTAGAGGCCAAGGGTTCAATCCCGACTTGATATTGACTTTTGGAGCTTTTCAATCAGCCATGGCTTTTAGTCAGTCAGCCATGAATGACTGACTAAGAGCCTTATTTCTTAGTCTGCTTTGGGTTTGCCTGGACTGGACCTGGACTGGACCTGGCCAGCTGTCTGATTTCTAATTTTTACTGACTAACTACTTATCTAACCAACGAGAAAATCTAAACAGCTTTTTCAGCTCTTTTTTTCGTAACTCACTTGCACAAAATGCAATAATTGTAGAGGACATCAACCGGTAGAGCGAACCATTGACCGTGGAGGATTAAGAGCCAAAGCTTGTAGAGAATGATGAGATTCTCGTTGTCGATTAGTTCAGAGATGTTTGTCCAAAAGTGGATATGCACAGATTTCTCGTCAAAGAAGTGGATCTAGAATGTAGATCTAGAATGTAGATCTAGAGTGTAGATCTAGAGATCTAGAGATCTAGAATGTAGATCTAGAGATCTAGAATGTAGATCTAGAGATCTAGAATGTAGATCTAGAGATCTAGAGTGTAGATCTAGAGATCTAGAGATCTAGAATGTAGATCTAGAGATCTAGAGTGTAGATCTAGAGATCTAGAGATCTAGAATGTAGATCTAGAGATCTAGAGTGTAGATCTAGAGATCTAGAGATCTAGAATGTAGATCTAGAGATCTAGAGTGTAGATCTAGAGATCTAGAATGTAGATCTAGAGATCTAGAGTGTAGATCTAGAGTGTAGATCTAGAATTTCAACAAATCCAAATCCCCAAAAACAAACCGGTATCAACAATTGTGTGAGAATTGAAAAAAGTAGAGCGAAAGAGCTCCCAATGACAAAATACGGCCGATGGCGTCGGAAAGTCGCTTCTCGACGAAGGAAAATTGAGGTGATGACGAGAGCGTTTGAGAGAATTCCTAATGTTGAGATTCCGGAGAGAATTTGAACAAAGAATTGTGCGGAATCCATTAAGACTGGAAAAACGAATTGTTAAATTGTTAACGAATTGTTAAAATCGTATTTTAGGTTGGTTTATACGTCTATTTTCGTTTATTTTCGGACTTTCATTTTGAAACCAACAAATGCACCAATTCAACTGCGATTTGTTTCATTTGTTTCATTATTTTCTTGCAAAATGGCATTAAAACGGGTTTAAAATGACCTATGTCTGGCTTTTTTGAGAGCTTGAAGTCGGGTAGTCAAAAAGGGTGACGACGTGGTTTGATGCTCCGGTTTAGACACTTTGCGCTAAGGAAACCTATCTTTGTGTCTATAGATAAAAGATAGAGCACAAAAAGTTTGATATATAGATAAATTTTCAGAGAAATTGAATGACAATTGACAATTCCATATGCCAGATCTTTACCTTCAGCACTTCGGAGAACGTTACACTCAAAAGGACAAGTTTAGTTCAGCAAATGTAAACGAATGGGATCTAGAGAAGTTTCTAGAGGCATCTAGAGAAGTGAAAACAATTTTTGAAAAGGAAAATAGATTTAAATCGATTTCTAGAGAAAAAACTTTGGTTTCTCACGATTTTAATCAAAAATATTCAACGAAAACCGAAAACTCATTAGATTTTGGAGTTGAAATTTGAATTGAATTGAATTGAATTGAAGAAGAATTGAAGAAGAATTTTATTGAAAATTTCTCATAGTCTGGGCTATTATATTCTAATTAATTAAAATTTTTTCAAATTGAAATGGATTTCTTTTGGTTTTACGATTTTGATTAAAGGGTTTTCTTTAGATTTTCGAAAAATTTGATGTGATTTTGAGAAATTTTCTCTAACAAAAAAGATAATTAATTAGAGACACGGAACCAAATTTAGAGGCAAGGGACCAAATTTAGAGAGATAAGGAACGAAATTTAGAGAGATAGGGAACCAAAGTTGTAGAGTAAAAGATAAGGAACCAAATTTAGAGATAAGGAACCAAATTTAGAGAGATAGGGAACCAAAGTTGTAGAGTAAAAGATAAGGAACCAAATTTAGAGGCAAGGGACCAAATTTAGAGAGATAAGGAACCAAATTTAGAGAGATAGGGAACCAAAGTTGTAGAGTAAAAGATAAGGAACGAAATTTAGAGGCAAGGGACCAAATTTAGAGAGATAAGGAACGAAATTTAGAAATAAGGAACCAGATTAGAGAGATAAAGAACCAAAGTTGTAGAGTAAAAGATAAGGAACCAAATTTAAAGATAAGGAACCAGATTAGAGAGATACGGAGCCAATTGAGAAAAATTTTCTCTAAATTTTCAAATGCCTTTAAAATTATGGCCACTTGCCAGAGGCACTTTTTGAATAAATTTGGTTTTTCTTTAAAAGTTCCAATTATCATCTCCTGGGTTTTTCCAGTTATACATATAAAATTATGATAGTAATGATGTTTAATAGACGATTTTATTAGATATTCAATATTTTCCAAAAATTCGATGCCTTTAAAATTATGTCCAGCAGTGTAGATTTAAATCGATTTCTAGAGAAAAAACTTTGGTTTCTCACGATTTTAATCAAAAATATTCAACGAAAACCGAAAACTCATTAGATTTTGTAGTTGAAATTTGAATTGAATTGAATTGGATAAGAATTGAATTGAATTGAATTGAATTGAATTGAATTGAATTGAATTGAATTGAATTGAATTGAATTGAATTGAATTGAATTGAATTGAATTGAATTGAATTGAAAATTGAAATAAGAGTTTTATTGAGGATTTCACATAGTCTGGTTTATTATATTCTAATTAACTCAAATTTTTTCAAATGAGAAATGGATTTCTTTTGGTTTTACGATTTCGATTAAAGGTTTTTCTTTAGATTTTCGTAAAATTTGATGTGATTTTGAGAAATTTTCTCTATCAAAAAAGATAATTAGCGAGGAATTGAGAAAAATTTCTCTAAATTCAAGAAATTGTGGAAAATTGTGGAAATTTTTGAAATAAGGACAACAATTTTCAGAAATTGATTGAATTCAGTGCACTAGGAGGGTTTTGTTTGCAAGATTTGAGCAAGAAAATAGGCTCAAGTCTAGTAGGAAAGACGTAAACATCAGCAGTGATTTGCTGTCGACTTTTCGTTGCCTATGAGCTCAAAGCCTATGAGCTTTGTGCTCAAATCTCTGAGCTTACTTTGTGCTCAAATCTTGTAAACAAATCCCTCCTGGTGCACTGATTTCTTGAAGTCATTGGAAGAATTCGAGTAAAGTAGGGTTTTGCTTAGCTTTTTGAAAACTTTTCAGCAGACTCACCCACTCAAAATCCTGTACTAGTTTAAAACTTTTTATATCTTTCGATATCCATTTTAAACCAACAAAATCAAACAAAAAGTCGATTGATTGGAGAAAAATTGGAATAGACAGGATTCCAGTAGTTGAAAGCACGGTTTAGAAAACGTTAAATAGATCCTCTTAAGTTCATTAACATAAAATTATCGTGGAGCAAGCATAACTCGACCTCATGCAGCAACTTGGATTGTCAATTTCCGAGATGAGTCGTCGGACCGTCGGACCGTCGGACCGTCGGAGAGGAGACTGTATCAATCGTTACCTCAAAGCTCCACTCAAATATGGTACTTCAAATGCGCATGGTCGTCACAAAAAGCTCTCCAAACGGGCCGAACGCCATATCAGAAACAAAGCCTCAAACCCTACGAGGTCGGCAAATGAAATCAAGCATGATTTGCAACTTTCAGTGCCAAAGTGGACTGTTCTGAGAACCATGAACTCTTCTCCACATCTCACACGTCAGGTGATGAAGCCAGCACCTCGCTTAACTGCCATCCACAAGCAGAACAGGTTGCTCTTTGCTCGCGCAAACATGGCAACTAACTGGAATCAGGTATTTAAACTTAGAAAACAAATTTTATTGGTTTCAGATCATCTACACAGACGAGAAAAAGTTCAACCTGGATGGGCCTGATGGTGGAAACTCTTATTGGCGTGACTTGCGCAAGGATCCATTACTGTTCTCAAAGCGAAACTTCGGCAGGGGTTCGGTGATGTGTTAGGGCATCTTCTCATCTCATGGAAAACTGGAAATCGTCTTTGTCACATTCAAGATGAACTCACAAGATTACCTCGATGTGCTCGAGGTCAACCTTCTTCCATATCTGTAAAGTCTTCCACAACACCAACTCACCCTACAGCAAGACAACGCCAGCATCCACGTCAGCCGAGCAACCAAGTCATGGCTTCAGTCAAAACAAGTGCCTCTTCTGGATTGGCCTGCGTGCTCCCCCGATCTCAACCCCATTGAGAATCTGTGGGGAATGCTTGCTCGTCGAGTTTATGGCAATTCCACACAATACGCAAATTTTCAAGCACTCAAAGATGGCATTACCCGCGAGTGGAATACCATTCCAAGAAGCACCATCAAGAAGCTAGTTGACAGCATGCCGAGTCGAATATTTGACGTGATCAGTCGCCAGGGACAGAAATCAAAATATTAAACTGTTATTGTTATAAATAAACCTTGTTATCATAAAAATTGAACAAAAATGCAACAACGACACCAAAATTTGGGAGGTGACGTTTTGCACCGGGTTAATTTTCGTTTTTTGGCTGTTACATTTTCCCTATTCATGCTATGTCGATGATTTTTTGGGTTTAAGGGTTATTTTTGGTCCTGAATCTAACTACGTTTTCAGTTTTTTGTCACTGGCACGGGAGCCGCAGAAAATTGAAATTTAGGGGGTGGCGCATGGTTTTGCACCGCACTGTATAAACATAGACTCAAACTCTTCACTCTTGAAACGCTACATCAACACCTTATCTACTATATATCAAGCAGAATAGACGTCTGTCTGCTTGTCTATCCGTTTGTCTGTCTATCCGTTTGTCTGTCTGTCCGTCTGTCTGTCTGCTTGTCTGTCCGTTTGTCTGTCTGTCTGTCTGCTTGTCTGTCTGTCTGTCTGTCCGTTTGTCCGTCTGTCTGTCTCTGCGCAAACGCGACGCTCCGTAATTACGTTTGCTCTATCGGTTAAAAGAGAAATTCAGCGAACGGGTAAAAACCTGTAAAGTATTACATTTAGAGAAAAATAAGCAAAAACCAAGGGCGGGACCGAACACCGATCTTACGACCGAGAGAGCCGTTCCACTGTCCACTAGGCCACCGGTGCCGATGTCCCAATAATTGAAAAGCGACCTTTAAAGCTTATCTTCAAAATTTCCATTTAATTTTTGGCTTATTTGGCATATTTTGGTTTCAGATGCTGAATCTCCATACTCGATTTCGTAAGAAGTATGTGATCCGGAGACGAAAGCTCACGGGAATTTTGTGCATTTCCTTTGTTAGAATCTAAATCGGATATCCAATTTAGTCTACAGCGAATATAACATACAGTGTGGTGCAAAAAAAAATGGGCCAAGATAGAAAACATACATAATATTGTCTGTCGGCAGACTTTGTCGGTCCTCCGTTTGCATTAATGACGGCCTTGATTCGCCTAGGCATCGAGAGGACAAGATCACGCAGGATAGTCGGGGAAATTCGACGCCACATGTTTCTGATGAACTAAAGCTCCACCTTTCTGATAACGAACCAAAGCTCCACCTTCGAATTGAAGCTCCTTCCCTTGATTTTGGTCTTCAAATAAGCCCAGAGATTTTCGATTGCACCACACTGTATTTTAGCACTGTATTTTAGCGAAATGTTCATCCATTTTCCTGTTGTTATCCTTGTTTATTCAGCGATTTCATCTTTTATTCATTAAAAAATACAATACAAAACCACACCATTAATGTAAAAATGTAGAAAATGATTGAAAAAAAGTTCGTTGTGCAAAAATAAATATAGAAGAAAGAAAAAGAAGAGAGTTGGGGGAGAATTTGTGGGTTTTTAAAAGCGCTAGTGTAGATACTTTCACTGATTACAAAAGTACTCAAAAGAATACTTTCAATGATGACAAAAGTACCCAAAAGAGCACTTTCACTTCTTGCGAAAGTACGCAAAAGGATACCTTAACTTCTTTCAA